CCATAATAGAAGAAATTACAAAGGATCTCCCACAAATTTCACCACAACTGAATAATGATCTAATGAAGCAGATCACAGAGGAAGAGATTGCACTAGTTATAAATCAATTACCAAATAATAAATCCCTCAGTATAGACAGTCTTACCTATGAATTCTATAAAGAAACAAAAGAAAGGGTCGTTCCAATCTTGGAAAAAGTCTTCAACGAGGTTCTTACAACAAGGTCCGTACCTGAGTCTTGATGTAAAAGCGCCATAACCTTGATCCCAAAAAAATCAGAAGAGCTGGGACGAGTAGAGAATTGGAGACCAATTTCTCTCATCAACTGTGATACAAAAATTTTTATGAAAATAATGTCATCGAGATTAGATAAAATATGTAAAACCGTAATCGAGTAGCACTAACATGGATTTATATCAGGTAGATCCATAATAGACGCAGCATTAAATATAATTACAATAATGAGACTCCAAGATGATCAAATCTGGGAAAACTAGTTGCTCTTTATAGATCAGAAAAAGACATTCGATCGAATAAACCATACTTACCTTCAACGGGTACTAGAAAAAATGAATATTGACAATAAGTTTGTGAAAATGTTCAAAAATCTATACTCTAGACAAAAGGCCCACATAGTCGATGCAGGGCTCCTTTCAACTATATTTCACATTGAAAGAGGGGTAAGGCAGGGAGACCCTTTGTCTTCTCTTCTGTATGCTGTAGCATTCGAACCCTTCCTAAGGAAAATTGACAAAGAAATTAGAGGAATTCACATTTATAATAACTATTTCAAGACCACGGCATATGCAGACGATCTTATCATTGGAATAGGCTCCATAAATAATTGGAATGTAATTTTAGAACTAATCGCTAAGTACGAAAGAGCATCCAATGCAGTGATAAACAAAGAAAAGACAACTCTAGTACTATTAACTACAAATGCCCGAAGGATAAATTTGACGGGTGAAACAAACCTTAACAAAATAAGTGAAGATAGAAATATCACAGTTCTAGGACACAAGAGGAAACCCAAAAAAAAAACTTGTGGAAAAATATGACATCAAAAATAAAAAAATTAACAGAGAAATATTCGCAACGAAACCTATCTTTCAAGGGACGTATCTTGGTTGCTAACTTGCTATTATTGTCACGATTATGGTATGCCACATACATTATGCCGCCAAGTAAGAAACAACTTAACGAGATAGATAGAATTATTTCCTAATGTATTAAAACAAATTCTCGTATCATACCACGGTACTCAGTCTTCCAGCTACCAGCAGAACAGAGAGGCTTGAATGTACCCATACTAAGAGATATGATGGAAGCAAGGCTAATCGCCATATTGCTTAAACTTGTATCAGACCAAAGTTTGTGGAATAAAATTGAGAGGCAGAGGATTGAGAATTCGATTAGATCTATAAGAAATATTTCAGTTAAAGTGGCACTTAATGAATCCCCAGTTAAAATGAAAGCCTGGCCGGATTATTGGAAACCATATGTTAAAGCCTGGGGAAGATTGGAAGGGAGAATTTTGAATGACTCAACTAATTGGCCCTGGGTCTTAGAGAATATACAAGTTATTAACAGAAAAGCTAACAAATACACGGTTAAACTGGCAACAGAATTTGGAAGAAATAAGACATTTCAAAGTAATCCGCAACGATCAGATCAGGTGATACGAGAAGGAGGGGATAATGATATAATCAAATGGTATCGTCGCGGATGTATTATCAATAAAAAGATTGATATATTTTGGCGCATGCTACACAGGGCACTCCCTCTGGGATATAGACTACGACATTTTAGCAACGCTGAAACGGGAGCCTGCCCAACATGCCCAAATGATCTACAAACGATGAAGCACTTCATTGCAGAATGCACAGTCAGTCGTCTAATTTGGAGAACAGCCTACCAGTTCCTAATCAGTCCAACTGATCTCGCACCACCAAACAATTTGGAAGAGATTAGTTCGGCCTCTAGCATTGGAACAGGCCCAATAATGACAGCAGCGATATGGTTACACATCATAACGGTTTATGAAATTTGGTGGTGGTATACACAAATAAAATGGGGAAATAAACATTTCTCGATGGCAACACTAATGCATATAATACACAACCATATTAGCAGAGAAATTAAAACCCTATACCGGTTAAAAATACAAAATAAGAAAGCCCAAAAAATCATTAGATTTATTAGAAGGGATTTTAGATAGCTCCTAGATGAACACGAGGGGGAAGGCATTGCATAAAACTAGTCTGGTAACATAGTTTAAACGTAATCTGATGTAATTCTTTCCACTAGCATTTATATAAATTAATAAACGCCTTATGGCGTCCCGAGAATATTTCTGCGGGTTAAGAGGAAAAAAAAAAAAATTGACTCACTATTAGTGGTCAAACTTTTAAAAATTTGGGGTATTTCACAAATGCGCCGTAATGAATTTTAATAGGAATCAAAGTGATAATTAATTCTAAACCGACTACACCAAAGATAAAAGCTAGTGAAAGGTTTTTCTGATTTTCCGGGAATTTCAATGTTATTATTGTAACAACGAGTACGGTTATACAGAGTATACTCTAAACCGCCAATTAATTTGCGAAAAATACAATTAAAAATAACCGAAATAGTCGGTAGTATAACTGATATAGTGTCACGGGCTAAAAGTGACATTTCCAAAAAACGTGACGAAGATAATGAAACTGCGTCTCCAGATGGAACAATCGATGGATGCTTTGCCCCCGTTGCATATAAGAATTAAAACTATTTAAAGGACGTTACAACACTAGAGGTTGGTAACGACTCTTATGTGCGAGGTAGGGACACATAAGGTTGATCATAATTATTGAATTCCTCTTCCCCAAATCACCAACGTCACGCCTCTGGCGAGGAGCTTAAAGAAACTATATGAATTACCCGTAACATTTGGTGGTGACTTACCAAATTACTCGTAACAATTGGTGGTGACTACAATTTATCCCGTCACAATAGCTAAGACCCAGATAAATGGCAAAAAGTATAATTGAGATAATTGGTAAACTGACATCACAAAGTAACATTAAGGAACTAAATGTTCTTTCGCTTTTTTGAGTTTTTGGTGTTGAAGGAGATGTTGGCTCAACATAATTATTGATATCTGGTTGATTTGATCCTTTATCATTAAGTCGAGGCATCCTGTTCCTTTAAAAGTTACTAGTTAAAAATGGATAAAAATTTTGTTATATTCAAAATTAGCCTGAAATTGTTTTCATAATCTGAGAAGTGTGCGGAATTTCATTTTTATTGTGCAATAGTTAGACAATGTCCTTCTGACTTTGGGGTTTCTTATTTTAGACAATAAAATCATTATAAAGTGTTTTTGCAATTTCATGTTTTTAGATTTTCTTATTAAAGTAGTAGATTATTATATATGAGGATGATTTAAATGCGCCGTTCCCAAATTTTGCCATGATCTATTTTTCAAACTGAAAAATTATTCAGGTCAATTTTCGTCTTCCAATTTTAAAAAACAATAATTAGATATAGAAATGTGATAATGATATTAATTACTAGTTGTCTAGAATAAATTTACAAATAATGGAGATTTTCAAATTTCCTTATTATTAAGGTCGTTTGAAATTAAAAATTCGTTTAAATAAACTGATTTATACTGAACTTTGAGGATGGTCTTTGTTTCTTAATTACGAATTCAAAACTACGCTACCGTATGTCGTAATTTATGAATAACGAATGCCGAATTCCTTTATCTACCGTCAGATCTGAATTCACATATGCTGCAAATTGATTCCCAAATGATTGTGACATAAGTTGTTACCCAATAACAAATACCGGTACTTGTTTTGAATTGATCTGATTATATGTAGATTTTGGATTCCAAAAAGCAATTATTAAATTGAATCCCGAAAAAATAAAATAATATATAAATTAATATATTGAAATTTATTTAATATCGCGATGCATTATTCGAATTGATCATATTCAAAACTTATAAATCTGACCAAGAACTTACAAGTTTAGAATTATTAAAATTTGATATCTGATATAAGCAAATAATAATAAAAATTACTAATTAGAAATTATTGATCAGTAATACACCAATCAATAATATCATCCCAAGCAGTAAAATATATGATATGTCCCAAATTTTCAACAAAACAAGATTCACATCCTTCAATTTGATCAGCAATATATTTCCCCATAGCAACTGTGCATCCATAATCTTCTTCACCATGCCAAACTTTACATTTAACACCTATTTTACCATCTTTTCCTTTCCCGATATCACTCAAATTAAATCCCCAATCCTTTCCCCATAAGTTATATTCCCAACATTCTGTTTCAACTTGACCTCTAGAATATAATTCTAAAATACTTTTAACAAATAATTCTTCTATTTCAGGATATTTTTCATAGACTTCCTTATCAGCTGATGGTCCAAGTGATAGAATATCACTAGCTGCTTTTACTGGATTCTTTAGCGCTGATTTTGCTTCAGAACGAGCAATCATTGACAATAAATTAGGATTATTCTTAGCTAACCACCTTTAGAAAAAATAAAACAGAATTATTACGAAGTTATATGAATAAATAAATGGCAATGTATATTATATACTGTAATGAAAAATAAAAGTTACCAAGCAAATTTAAGTTTCCATTCCATAGTACCTGTCAGATTTGGAACATTATACGGAGCAACAGAGCTAATAATTGCGACTTTACCAAGTATAGGTTCATTTATATTATCATCATTATCATCAATTGGTTTTCCTAAAACGTAAGCAGCAGCTAATCCAAAAGGACCACCTGCAGAATAAGCCAACAAAGAAAATTTTTTAATATTTTTTTGTTGACAAAATTCTCTTATGTCATTAGAAAAATCGATAAAATTTCTTTTGGCAAATGTTGAAAGTCCAAGTCCTGGTCTTTCTAATACAATTAATCTTATTAACGCTTTATCTTCATTCTCACTAATGTCTTTGAAAGATTCAGATAATAATGAAGGATGTGTAAAAAATCTTGAGCCTGGTAATCCAGGTATCGAAAGAATCACAAATTCTTGATTGCTTAGAGATTTAGCGTTCGCATTAAGCTTATGAGAAAATTTGTATTCTTTAAATCCAATTAATCTACCATCACTTAAGGTAATGGTTTCACCATCGTCGTTAATTGGAAATTTTGATACTTCTAAATGTGGATATTTTGGCTTGGAGGTTGAAGAACCCATTTTTTTAAAAAATAATGTTGTACATCAATTAATTTATGCATTTTAGTAACCGCCCAACTTAAACTATCATGTCAAATCAAATTTCATGTTTAGGTGCTACATAAAATCAAAATAAAAATGCAAACACATAATTTTGAGTCATTAATTTACTGCGGAATTTATTTCCGGAATTATTAGAGATTTATAATTTTGTTGAATCGTTTTTTCCTTATTGGTTTGGTGGGTGTATATAGTGTTTCGGGCGAAATAATATATTTCGCCCGGGCGAAATTTCCGAAATAGGGCGAAATATATTTCGCCAAAAGACCAGAAATCCGATAATTCCGAAACTGGCGAAACTGGCG